CTCTATCTAACAGTCCAATCCTCTTAGACCTTGCTTTGATAAACATTTCTTTTGGCAATAGCTCTACCTTGCGCCCCTGCTCCAACACGGCTGTTTGATGGACTGCACAGTGAACCAGGGAGCTGAGCTGGGTGGAGGATAATCACCTCCTGTGCTTTAGTCAGCAGATTATTTTTAACCAGTCTAGTTCACCACATCGTCTCCAAACAAGTCCACGGGAGTCAACTTAAGCCACCATTTCTGCAAAAAAATCTCAACCCACAATTATAAGTAACACAGAGTAAAGTTTTATCATGTCCCTGGTTTTGTGTAAGCTTGTGACAGGGTCTGGCCTTGCAGGGGTGGGAAGGTTGTTACAAAATTGAAGAGGCTGCTAACACTTAGCTTAGGCCTAGACAGAAGACATGGCGACTCGCTTTATGCATTTGAATCTCTAGCAATCCATGCCATGTATTTTTTTGCCAATTGGAAATAGGCAGGTACCAATCTCTCTGCATAGTTCGAGCATAAGTTTGAAATGACGCTCTGGGTAGGTGGCCAGGCAATACTCTGTCTTGGCAGTGAAAAAAGGGAGCAGTAAGGGATTGCTGGTTTGGTTTTTTTTTTTCATTTGTTCTTTGAGGGAGTGGGAATCGCTACATTTCTTTCAACAGAAGGTGAAATAAAACCATCACAGGAAACAACTCTGAAAAAAGCAGCGTAACGAAGGCTCTGACAAAACAGATGAAAAGCTTTTAGAATTATTTTTGTTCCTGCTGCTTATCAACTTTTTTACACAGCAGAAGAACAGAGCTTTTGTTATGATCAGGGAGTGTTATTTATGCATCCCCACCAGCCTCAGCTTCCTGTGCTCCTTTCTTCCCTTACTCCATTTAAAGAATAGATCTCAACTACCACAAAATCTAGAATGATAAATAGCATCTGTTAAACGCACATTACACCAGTTCATTGGCCACTCCCAGGAAACGTTCTGATGTCTTCTGAAACCCTGACGGGATGTTGACTGAGATGGAACTCAGTCGGTGTAGTGAAGTTTTCTGGGAAGGGATCAGGAGACACAGAATGAATGTGGACAATGTTTTCCCCTCTAAGCTTTTATTGTGTTTTTCTTTCTCCCTAGGTTCCTTAAGGACTATTGTGAAAGGGGCTGCTTCTCTGACTTAGACCTCATCGATAATTTGGGACCGTCCATGCTGCTTAGTGACCGGCTGACATTTCTCGGTAAGAAGCATCTACAGTTTTCATTCTGGCCTGTTATTTAGAACATGGTTATCTCCATGGCATTATTTGGATTTGTCTCTTCCTCCATCTGGCTACATCCTGTTCTAGTGATGAGGGGAGAGCAAATGACAGAAGGTGATTGGGGATGCACCCTGCCTGCTACCAGGAGACCACATTTCCAGTTGCCCTCCCAGTAGGCATCTGTTCTGCACTGCTTCGAGCAGGATAGTCTTGAATTCTGACACTTGTAGGCTTCCCCTTTCTTAGTCTTTTTCCAGACTGCATCACTACCTAGGGAGACTTTGAAACATTAGCAAACACGATCTGGAAGACCTTAGGGGGCTTCCTTAGAAGAGTAAACCACTGATTAAAATTATCACATAGTCAAAATAACTAACTTCATAACGTTCTCCAAAATCTCAACATCTCTTGCTGGTTCAGCGTGCCAATTTCAAGCTTGGGCAAATGTAAGCTCTCTCCTGCCCTTTGACTGTAGCACTTGTGCCACAGGACAGCGGTGGGCCTCTAGCTAAGCTTCCTTTACACACCGCAGCTTCCTTCTCCTGGCTGGCACAAGTGCGGGCTGTGGTAACCTGCCCACCTGGCTGCAGCTGCTCTGTGGCATTTGATTAATGGACCAAGACAGGAAACTGAGCTAAAATGCACCTTTCTCTGGAGCTGTGGCAGTTAGCAAGCCCGGGTACTGCGGCCAAATTCTAACAGGAATCGGGAATAGCTGTTGGCAATTGGACTGACTCTCTTCTGGCTGACACAAGCCTTACAGTGACAGTGATCCTGAATTTGATCCGTTCCCATTTGGTCCAGGCTTGCAAAACTGGAACTGTATTTCCTTCATTTAAACCTTATCCTAATTTAAGCCTAGAAGCTAACTGTGCCTCACCAAACTGGTAATCCCTCATGCCTTTGTGTGCCCACTGTCACCCAGTGACCCTTGCATCACCCCAAAGATTTGTAGTTTAATTGGGTAACCATGTTTATAAACTGTGCTTATAGAGAAATTACCTCCCTTTCCGCTTCTTATAAAAAAATCCTGAAAGGCCTGAAAATATTTATGCCTGTTTTTCTTTTGGAGGTTTTAGAAGCATCAGGTAGACGTTCACTGGACAACTTTCACAGGTCTCTATCTTGAGCTCAAGCATTAGTCAAAGGGGAATCTGAAGGGGAATCATTACTTCCAGTATTCTGACAGTTTAGTGGATACAAAGCTGCAGAATAAAACTCACTTTCATCCTCAGCCAGTTTTCACATGCTTGGAGATCAATCTCACCAATTCCTAACGAAAGCAGAACTTTCCACGTTAACAAAGATCTCTGTTTCCATTTAAACAGTCGGGAAGACAATGCAGCCTTTCAGACCTCCTGATATTCTGTGATATCAAAAAGAACATTCACCCCGCTGCCTCTCCCCTCCCGTTCCATGTTTTTGCAGACACCTCCAGTCTCTCTAAGCCACTGGTGCTGTTGCTCACCCTGCAAACGCTCAGCACCAGGCAGTATCAGTTAGCAAACCGGCTGGTTCAAACAGTAAACCTTACCAAGAACAGTAACAGGGTTTTGGTGCCTCTTCGGACAGCCTCTATTTTAACCTTTCCTCATGCACAAGATTCCCATTCCCCCAGACTCAGCTGCTTTGGGGACTCATTTCGGTTGGGGGTAGTTCTGTTTTTTTTAGTACCGAGAATTCCACCGGCTGTACGCGGAGAAGCGGTTCTCTGAAGCTGCCAGGTTGCTTCTGATGTTGATGACTGCTCACATTGCTCCGTACTCCTTCTGGATGACGCTGCTGACAGACGCCCTTCCGCTGCTGGAGCTGAAGGAGGTGAGCAGGCTGGTGACACGGGTGACAAAGAGTCCCTGCGCCCTTTCTGTTCTTCCTGACAAGGTCTCTCAAACTGGTGACAGCCCCCCTCCTGCCCCCAGGCTGGGACTGCACTTCCCCTGCAAAGGAACTGTTTGCGCAGTTCCAGAATTGCAGAGCTCTCCCGGTGTCCTGGCAGCGGGAGCACGTGGGACCCAAGGGAGAATAAGCAACTCGCAGCTCCGGTCCCTGCTTTTAGAAAACAGCAGTGGAATGTGTAGATGCTGATAATTTAAATACACACTGTGTCCAGTCCCCTCTGGTACTCAGCTTGAAGATTTTACTAGTGTGTTTCCTTCTTCTAAGCCCAATTTTTTTGCTTTAAAATCCATCAAGAAAATGGCAGTTTAGTAATTACAGACCCATGACTGGATAAAGCCCCGAGCACCCGCTCTGACCTCATAGCTGACCCTGCTTTGCGCAGGAGGTGGCACTAGAGACCTCCCAAAGTCACTTCCAGCTGAATTATCCTCTGATCCTGTGATTTAAAGGGTCACAATGAATCCGTGGGAGTGTGAAAGCATTCTCTGCCTCTCGATTATCTTCTCAGCCTGTGATGTCCTTAAACTTGGACGTTTTCAGTAAATACTTTCATTTCCACAGGTCGTATTTTCAGCAGAGCAGACTTATGAGTTGATGCGATGCCTGGAAGACCTGACAGCAGGGAAGTCGGATAAGCAGAAATTCCAGGTAGCTCCTGTTTTGAGGACAAGTGGGTAATGAACTGGTGGGGCTGCGGGGTGGGGCGGGGCGGGGAAAGCAAACTCTAAATTTGTATTCCTATGTGGGGGCAGAAAAGAGGAAGAACCCGAGTTACCGAGGCTGGTACGTGCTGTTGTTTTTAAAGGCCAGCCAAATGAGGCGTGGTCAAGAGAAAAATTGAAGTATACACCAAACCAGTACAGGGGTACTTCCACTCCTCACTGTTCTGCCGATTGGGATTGGACTGTGATGCTTTTCCAAGATAAATAATTGCAAATTACATGGGCAATGAAAAGCTGAGGTGCTGCCACCTAACAGCTCAGGCTGTGAAATGTTCCAGGCGCAGAGCAGGGAGCCGCTTGCTCCACATGCAAACCTCTGCAGCTGCCAGAAAAAGAAAAGGCTTGGCAGTGCAGTCTGGCGCTGATCTGAAATGTAGGAAATGGAGCTTTTGCTCTTCTCGGGAGGCTGCTATGCCCAGTAAATGTAGGTGCACCCTTCCTCTGAATGACCTGCACCCTTACTTTCCAAAACTCAGGAAAAGAACCTGTCTCCAGCTAGTTACTGTGTGTCGCAGTCTAACCCAGGCTCTGCTCACTTTTAGGATGATGGCGTCGAGACTACGAAAGTGGAAATGCTGAGACTTGCTCTTGCACGAAACCTTGCACGAGTCATCGTCAAAGAAGGCACGTTGGAAGGATCTTGAGGACAGCAGTATGTGATTTTACTCATCCTCTGTGGCTCACTGTACATAAACCTGACTGCTTTTCTAAGAATAAATGTCTTGTTTTGCATATTGCGTGGGGATTTGTTCTTCTCTTCCACAGACATAACTTTAAAAAAAAAAAAAGTAAATGTAACTTTTACAAAGGAGCTACGTCAAAACGTTAGGGTTGCTTGTTCCAGTTTGCTCTGGCAACCCTGCCTGGCAAAGCAGACCTCGTTACTGATGGCAGCGTTACCTTGGCTTTTTCAGTCACTTTACCTCTCAATGCCCAGCACTGAAATTAAGCTCACCTTTCACACCCCTGGGGGTTTTGGAAAAGAGCAACTTCTCCAGTTTCGCTTAGTTTGGATGCTCTTGAGATGACGGGTTAAGCTTTAGGCTTTCCAGAGACAGCACTGGACTCCGTGAGCAGTCGTTAGTAAGGGCTCTCCACAGAGCACAGTAGGGAAAACAATTTATTTAACATGCAGCAGAACAAATGCATTTGAGATGTATATACAGGTACGGCTGTTCGGTATGAAGCAGGAACCTCACCCTACACACAAGGAACATTCATAGTTTAATTTCCAAAGCTTTTAACAATGTGTTTCCGCACAGCAAGACTACGGCATCTTTCCATTTGGCTGTACAGCGCGGGCAGCGCGCTGCCGTTAACACTGAGAACAAAACCATTCCGCAGAGAGCACGTGTGCTCTTCTGGCTTCCTCAAAGTCACAGTGAGATTCACGCGTAGGCACCGCCAGCAGTGAAACCTGCTTCCTCGGGACACACTACCCCGGCCTAAGCACTGCCCCACGCCTACTGCGTCTAAAGTGCTGGCAAGAACGTGTCTGAGGCAGGAAGAACTCTCTCCTTGTCTCCTACCCTAGTCCATCGATTTCAGACCGCTTTCTTTAAGGATCCAGAGAGTGTGCCCACCCCTCTCACCTGCCCTCTACAGCAGGGAGCTGACAAGGCTGGGCTCTTCATGCGCTTCAGACCAGGAGTTTACAGCAGGTTCCTTGGCCGAGTTTTGATTCCACATTCAGAGCTCCTGCAACTGCCTGGTGCCTCTGATTAGGGCCTCAGGCCTCTGAATCCGCTGAGTTTTTCACCTCTATTGATTTTTACTTTGCAACACAGTAAAGAAAACTCAACTATAAATACCTCCAAGCTGCATTTGCAGTAACGGGTTTTACAGCCGCCATTAATTCCAGCAGCACTTCCTCCTCTGGAGTTTTCTTCCTACAACAGGCAGGGGTCTCCTCCTGCTGATTTTCTCAGCGCTTGAGCTGGCTGCTCCAGTTCATGGCTTGGTGAGAGCTGCGGCTCGACAGCACTGCCAGAAACGCTGAGCTGCATGTCCGAGGACCTGCCCTGTCTGTGCTTTTGTCAATGGCTGTTAAAAAACCATGTTCATTTAAAACAGTCCGTCTCAAAGCTAGCGGAGGCACTGCTTGAGATTGGAAACTGAGAGGGAGAAGGAAGGGACTGCCAGAATCAAGTTGTGGTGATTTAAACCCAGTTCCTGTAAGACTGGAGCTAGAGGGGTCAGCTCTTCTGCCCCCTGTTAGCGCAGAACACTGATGTCCAGCAAAACTGCTTTGCCCCTTGCGGAGACAATTGCACTTAGCCACTTAATACAGGGAACAAATAAAACAGGGCACGAAACCCAGCACATGCATCATCACGGCCCAGTGGAGCCTCCCTTCCTTTCACTGTCCGCTTGTTTCTATTTAGATATCCTATAGTTCTATTATTTACATCTTGTATTTCATTGTACTCATCTCAATAAAACACAGTATTCAACTACAATAATAATACTGCCTGCGTGAGGGGACGTGAGAGGCATCTCTCCTTGTCCCTGGATTCAGTCACTGCACCTGATTAGCGATTGTAAAGACGCGTCTGTGCTCCAGGTGCTGTCCTCCACCAACACAGACCACTCCTTTCCAGCCCTGTTCACCTCCTCACTGCCCATTTCCTCTTTTCCCCACCCTATGGAATGCAAGGAAGGCAGAAAAATAACCATCCTAACCATTTGCATACAAAACTCAGCCCCAGCTGCCCCGAACGGATACAACAGGGAGGTGGCTGGCAGCTAAAATAAATATAACAACTAAAGATACAGCAGTGTCGCACAACACAGAGCGAGGGTCTGCTTACATTGGCCGTTGGGAACGAAGCAGCGGAGGGGAAGGAAGGGAGCGAAGTGCCATTTCAGTGTAAAAAAAATCAGCGTTCCCTCACGGAGCCAGCATTATTGCTCAACATGCTTAGCGGGCCCGGTCTGGCACTGAGGAGGTAAAAGTCAGAGGGAGGGCACGCGTAAGGGCTCTGCACTGAGGGAGCTCACGGAGGCATCATTACCCCACCAGCCTGTAGGTATCTCCGGACAGCAGTACAGGAACAAGCCAACTAAAGCCCCTTCTGCTGACAGGTCTCCCCTCAAAACACAGTAACTTCAAGTTTAATAGAGTGGAAGATAGAACCAGATTCCCCCAGAGGTCAAGATAAAAGCAGCCAGCCGGGCCTGTTACTGGCTGCCACTCAGTTCATGCTTGGCGTAAATGTTCCAGGACCCCTTCAATGGGGGGCAAAACATTCTGGACTAAAGCTACAAGCAGAGTGGTCAGGACATGTAAACAAAGCGGAACATCACCAGTGGATAGCGTGTGTGTCCCTCCCCACGTCACATTCATTCCAGTCCTGTGGGATCCTTTCCTGGTCCTGTCACAGAGTCTCTGGCAGTGTCCTAGGGTCATAGATTCCCCCACTGCTCTACCGGGGGAAACTGATCCACTTCGCCAACCTCTGTGCTGGGCTGGTCTCCCAGGGTGAAGGTCAGTCTGTATCGCAGCCTCACTTTCTCCTGCAGGAAAGACAAAACCCGAGGGCAACATGAGAACAGCCCCAGCTGCTCCCGAACGAAACATTTCACTGTTACAGCTTTACAGAGTGCACAAGTCTTCTGCTGCACATAGTGGGGGGAAGAGGGCTAAGGTTAAGTTCCTGGAGAGTTCAGCTATTTAGCAACCCTGAGTTATTTACCCTACAGGTTTTATACCACAAAAGCTTTATTGCTTAGCATGGAACAGGAGGAGAAAAGCATGAACGACCTGTGATAACAGTTTGCACATACGTGGCCAGCACCCGTTGCTTAGCTGCTCTCCAGTGAGCCCAAAGAATGCTGCTGCAATAGCTCAGCATTCTCAAAACTAAATTCCTCATCATATGGAAGAAGATAAAACAGTTCCTGTTCTGCAAAATTCCTAGTGAAAAAGTAAGCAGGAGATGGAGCCAGTCCTTCAACGAGGGGATCTCCATGTACCTTACAAAGTTTTTCAACAATCCACCTCTGACATTTATCCATTTGATCTCAAAGCTTTCAGCTGATACTTTAAGGACACTTTTGCTGTAATTCTCAAGTAGTAACATCTAGATTTGTCAAATGATTACAAACTACTTCAGCAGACAGCCCTCAGCTTTATGGAGCAGGCTACTTAAATAACTACAGCAAGGAAAAACAGCTACTTGGATGCTTCCAGCACGATCAGCAGAAAAAAAAAGTGTTAACCAGAGTTAACCCTTTACACAGGTACATCCTCAAAGAACTCTGGAACAGACATGACCTGACAATTGTCTGTTGGTTCAGCTCTGTCAGGCTGTAGCCTCAACACAGCAAAGGATTTCTACAGCACGAGCTAATTTGACATCAGTCTAATTATCACCAAAGCCAGGCAGTTCCAGTGCTGAAGGCAGTCAGAGCTCCTGACACAGCTCCTCACTGCTACCCTTTAAAGCCGAGCCTTATGTGACTGTTGCCCTTTTGCTGGGAGAAATGCACAGGTCCTTCTCACACCTTTCCTGGCTGATGAAGTCTACTGGGGAAGAGCCTCCTCTAGCCCTGAAGTGAAACACCAATGTTATGCAGTCACCACCTCTGGAGTGCAAGTTCGGAACAAATAGCTGTATCTGCTCAAACATTTGGTCTGTAGAATTCAGTTTACATCAAATGCGTCTGACAAGGACAGGATAAATCCCACTGCCCCTCTCACCTTTGTAGGATTTGCCAGAAGCATGACTTGGGTGATGGCAGCAGGCGGCTGGATGGGATTGAATGGAGACAATTCTGTGCCAGAGGGTGGTTGTAACTTCACTTTCATGGACTGCAAATGAAAAAGAAAGTGGAACCTCAGGGATTATCTCCTACCTTGGGGACAATGAAAGATGCATGCACAGGCTGGGGAGATAACAGCACACATCCAAACTGAAAAGAATCAATCCAAACATGAGGATGAGGAAACAAGAGCCAGCCCAGCTTGTACAATGCAACAGGAACAGGTAGACTGACAAGTCAGTCCAGAGTAAAAGCACTGGTCTGGTGAACACCAACAACATGTTCCTATCTGAGTGCTCTTGTGTCAGAGCTTTTAATGTGAACACCTTCACGATGGTAGGCAGACTGTAGCTGAGATTGGGCCAGTTTTCAAAACACAAAGCTGGCTATCCAAAATTACCTAGGTGCAGTAAGACTAGAACGGAAGATATTGTCAGATTTAGGATGTCTTAGAAATGCTGATTCTAAAGACCTCAAGGGTAGCTCTATCCACGTAACAGTCCTGTCATTGTGCTATCTGAGCCACCTTCATGAACAGACACAGCTGGATTGACCTTAGACAGCAAGAAAAATAGGACACTAACTACCTGCAGTTCTTGACTTATCCTTGTTCAGCGTTTTCTGCCTCTGACAACCACCTTCATGTTTTGGAAACAGGCAGAGCAAAGCCTACAGAAAGGCAGAGCCAGGCTGTCCCAAGTCCCTGAGTTCATACTCTGGCCTTCCCGAATGCACAGTTTCACGTTGCCATGGGTCTGAGCCGCGTGTCCCTACCTTCGGCACCGCAGCCTGCAGCACGATGTTCTTCACAGGAAGTGGTGCCGTGTTCAGCATCGAGACTACCACGACCAGCACATCCGACCTTCCCGGCGGGCACTCCCTGGCAAAGTGCAAGAGGATCCGGAAGCCGTTCTTGTCATAGGCTGTCACTGGGAGGGCACTGCCTACGGCAGAGAGAGAAGGGGAGAGGAATGCAGCTTTATGCTGTAGAAGATGACCTGTAGCAGCATCAGGCAATCTGACTGCCCAGCTGGGACATCTCATCCTTTCTCTCTATTTCATAAGCTTTGTCAAGAAGCTTTGCTTTAAAAAATTTTCAGAGAAAGGTGAAAAAATCTGAGATACTTACTGGGTTTAATGGATTCCAAGGGAACATGGACATTGGCCAAAGAAATTTCAGGTGCTTTCATGGGACTGCCTTGCTGCTGGAATGATGCCGGCTGGAAGAGAGGACTTCCTGAGCCAGCAGTGCAGCTGCTTGGGAAAGGAACTGGAGGGGCTCCAGGGGCAGTGGCTGGAAGCCCTGCAGGTGCTATTAACGGGGCAGAGGCAACAGTGGTTGGCAAAGTAACCCCGGGGAACACCGAGGGTGTTGCCATGCCTGGGGTGGCAGTCCTGGAAGAGAGACAGAAAAAACATGGGAAACTGAGCTGAAAGTGAAGCAGGCAATTCACCACAAACCCAGAGGTAACAGCAGATCATGAGGACAAAGCAGTGGCCCGGTGCCAGATAAGAGTCTGTGACTCAGTACAGTCTCGTGTCAGAAGGAAAGCTACAAGGGAAGTGGTGGTGGTAGGGTTAGGCATCACTCCTCTAAGTCGAGAAGAAAGCAGAGCCCCACCTTGGCAAAGGTGGGCAAGGCTAAGATGGGCAAAGGCCTCTGTACTTTAGCAGCCTGTTCAACTTTACACCGCGCATTTGTATCAGGCAACAGTACCGCTGTTGCGCTCTCCCTACTAGTGCCTGCCTTTCCCTCACAGAGGTGGGACCCTCCTATTAACACGTAAACTGAAACCCTCTCAGAAGAAAAATCCCAATCACACATTTCTACCCAACCAGGGGGTTGAAAGTCTGCCCCTGAACCTGATGCTGCAGCAAGCTTGGCTTCCTAACTGCAGAGACAAAGCAACGTGCAGGACTTTCAGTTACCCTTTGGCTTCTTCAAGGAGTTGTCCCAATGCATCCATCTTATGTGACATACTGCTCCCCACAGATGAGCTCAAGTACCCAGGAGCAGCTGGAGTAGTCTTAGGAGGCCCTGCAGGGGCAGCTGGTACAGCAGAGAACACAAATGGTGCTGAGTTTGGTGCTGGGATGCTGGGAGTGGTCTGAGAGGCTGTGAAAGCAGAGGGCAGCGTGACTGACGTTCCACCCGTGGTCTGGGATGTGTGATGGAGAAGAGGGTTCCCTGCAGGGTTGCAAGCAACAGTCACCATCTTCGGATTAAAGAAATCCAGGTCCAACTGGTCATTCTGAAAGAGAAGACAAGCAGATGCTCTAACTCACTGCTTCCCCCTGTCGTAGAGATAGCACTGTTACAGGGGGAGACAGGTTTACCGCAAAAACAGGTGCTGGGTGGCAAGCAGCAAAGTCTGTGGCCTATGTCAGGACTACATCTTATCTGTAATTTAAGCAAAGGAAGTGCTAACATCATGGGGCACAGATGGGAAGCTGAGAAAGCCAGGTTCAGGGATATCTACTCTGTTCAGACACAGCTATCCCAGATAAGCTAAGCCAGGCTTCCCCTCAGGAACAGCAGCCCCTCTACCTGTATGTGTGATCACACATTTCTCCAAGGTGACAAAGTCTGTCCCAAGACTTCTGATAATGACAGTCCCTCCCTCCCCTTCCCCTGAGACCCTCCTTTGTACCTCAAACATGCTCCACTGGTTGTTTTCTGATGTCTCCTTCACTGCTGTAGGGGCTGGATCATTCAGGCCTGAAAGGGAAAATAACAACTAGGTAACTAAAGGAGAAAATGAGTTAGGTGTCATCCCTTGGCAGTTGTTTCAGTACCGTCAAACTACTTGATTCAGCTCTGTCAAAGCCCAAGAACCTGATGAAAGACTGAAATGGGCTGCAAGTCTATGATGAGGAAAAGAGACTGACAGCACCAGTAGCTGACAGTCATCCCCTACACACAGCTCTTCTAACCCTTCCTGATCTGCAGTGTCTTCTGCTGTTCATATCTGGGGTCCACAGGCAGAGACTCTGCAGGCTCCTATACGCAACCCCTCTAAGGCACCTTGCTCTTTAGCACAGCTACAAAGTCAGGGGTGAAGTCTGTGCCAAACTGCAGCCTGCATGTCCGAGCACCTACAGAGATCAGACTGCAGTTACACTCAACTGTTATTTCACTTGCAGCCTACTCTGGGAAGATCACCATTTTTAATACTGACTCACTAACCAGGTCTTACATTCAGGATGATGCAAGGGAGTGTCCCCTAGACTTCTCTAGAAACCAAAGGCATCTTGTGCTCCTTTTAGGTATGCCACATGCACAGCCAGCCCTCACACTGAAGGAAGAAAGCAGGCTTTGTTAGGCATGGATTGAATAGCCCTTTTCTGGGCCCCTCGGTGTCTTACCTAAGCACAGAAGCTCCTCATCCAGCAAGGACAAGGAGTTGGCTGTGCTGCTCTGCTGAGCGGGTGCGGCTTCCACTTGGCTAGAGGAACTGCTCCGCAATTGTGAGACCGTCTGGGGAGGAGGTGGGAGAATGGGGATTTCTGCTGGGGCTACTGTGGGGGCTGGCGTCAGGGTGGTGGGTGGCATTGGAGGTGGCGGGGTGCTGGTGACATCCAATCCAGCAAGGTCAATGAGGGTGTTGAGATTACTGGTGGAGTTACTCCCTGCAGCGGACAGGAGAAGAGCACTACTAGGAAAGAAGGCAAAAGGCTCAGAGCAAACCCAATGTACAGAAGGAATTACCAGAGAGATGGTTTAGATAACACACATCCTCATTTAATCATGGCTTATGGCTCTTTATAACAGAGAAAGCCCACATGCTTTCCACCTATTTGCTGTCCACAAGCTACTTAAAATCAACCCAGATACTTAGGAAATTTCTATCTGAAAAGCAACATCTGCTCCAACCACTGCTCTTTCCCCAGTGCTTCCTCTAGCATAATTCATAGTCTTTTCAAAATATTTTGAGCTCAGATGAGGCTCTGGGAGATCCTACAGAATTACAATAAATAAAGGCTACCAGACCGCTAGAGAGCTGAGGAAAATTCATATTGTCTGGATCTAGAATTCCCTTCATATTTAGGACCATCTCATCCCAATAAGATGCTGTCAGGCAGCATTATGCATTCCCCTACTGCTCTCCATGCAGAAATGTGTACGTGACTCCCAAACAGTAATTCTGCCACACACGTCCCGACCTTCAATGGTGAAACTGCCATGTGAAGTGGGTGACTGGCCTAAATTCACAAATAGAATTGCCAGCAAAGCCAGGACCCCTGGCCTGGCTCCCACTCTCCTGCTATTGCCCTTTTGATAAAATCATCCTCTTCTTACATGTCACCATTAAGACCAGGACAGATGTGGAGAGGAAAATGTATGAGAATTTTCAGCCACACAAATCGTTCAGATGCAGGCTTGCTGTCGATGTTACCAAAGGTTTCAATAATATGGAACGAGCAGTGGAAAATGCAAAGCTGCAGCACTGTTGCTCATGTCCAGAATTGTCTATCTACTGCTTAGAAGCTGTCTTGTCCCACTCTGATTCACAAACTGTTGGCCACAAGGACCACCAATAGCCTACTTCACCACAATTAATAGGAAACCCCGTCCAAAAGACTTAGTATTGCAGGATTCAAAATTAAACAGTTGGCTTCCCAGGAACTCACCTTCCACTACAGACATCACAGGGAGATCCACTTCACCATTGACCACTTGTCCCTCTATTATTTTTTTATAGGAATTTATCACACGGGATAAATTGTCACTGGCCTGCAGAATATCCCCTACATGCAAGAGACAAAAACAACCTCCAAGACTTTAGTAACTCTGCTCCTACTAATGCTGAGAGTACTCAGTTATCAACTAAATAATAATCAAGAAAAAACATAATTATTTGGCTATGAGCTCCATTACTCTGTCTTTGCCATGCTTCTCTAAGCAATACCCTGACCTTTCCAGGTCCCTGCACATTACAGTAACAATGAAAAAATGAGTCCAAGGCTTTGTTCCCCACAGCAACTCCCTTCCCCTTCCAAAGCAGCAGCTGTCTCCCATTATCACCCCCAGCCTCCCTAACCACCAACTCTACTGTTAAGTTCTTGCCTGAATTTAAAAGATAAGCATAAAGAGGCAAGGATCTTGTCTTTTATCTGCTTGCTCAAAGCAAAGTGCATTCACAGCGAAGAGGCGTCTTTACAGCAGCCATTCCCTTGCTGAACCCTTGCACAGTCACAGGTCACAAAAGCAATTAAAAAAGAAGTGCAGCTTCATTTACCCAAACTGCTGTCATTATCCTCCGTCTCACTGGCCAGCTTGAATAATGTCCGTCTTTTGGTTTCACACCTTTCATAGAGCTCCTAGGAAGACAGATTAGGACAAAGGGTTTCATCAGCCAGGAGCCACTGTCAGCAATGCCAGTCAACACAATGACTCCCCAGGCATGCGCTGGAAAGCCCAGAACAGAGAAACGAGTCTCCCAGAGTTGAATGTGCCAGTGGGGCTGGATCACCAAGACCTCCTGCCCCTGCCCTTTGAACAGAGCTGCGAAGCATTATGTTAGCCTGGGAGTCTAAACACAACCCCCATTTTCAACACAACATCTCTCAGTCCTCCCTCACATCAGCACTTACAGCTATCTCTAGTCCAAAAGACATGTTCATTCCTTGTATTACAGTAGTCCCTAAAAGCCTGAGGAAGAGCAGAATCGTGCTTCAATAATAATGCTTCAATTGTCCTGCAACCACTACTCCACACAGAAGAAAGGTGGCAAGAAGGAAATGTTTCACAGAAACAAACCACCTTCTTACCATCGTTTCAGGAGCTTGTTGTTAAAAATGAGTAATTTTAACTTTTAAAATCACATAAGGTGCAACTCTTCAAGGTCCTGGGCCTATCCAACCACCCCTGGTGGCTGTTTTGATTTTGACCTTTTTGATGTTCTCCCAACCTTGTAAGACTAGCTAAAACTCTTCCTCTGAAGGAGAGGACATACTTTCTGTCCCACTCAGCCTTTAGTTTATTCATCCATGGTGCTGTAAGGGACAATTATGATCTGCAATCAGTGCGTCCTAATAGGAGCAAGAATTACAAACTGCAGCTTCTTGATTCTGCCACGCTGCATCTTTGAGGAAGAGCTGTACCTTGCTTCAAGCATGTTCAAAACCAAGCTATTACCCACTGAGTCCTTTGGTGAAAGGTGTTAAAAACATGGTTATTTTCTTTCCTGCTGTTTCCAACAACTGCCCTTGTTTCTCGCCATTGTCCTCCATTTTACTGCACTGTTTGTAATTCTCTGCAAAACTCAAGTCTGTAAGAAGAAGGAACTGACTCCAGGGTTTCTGGGAAGAAGGAGCAGCTCAGACCCACCTTCATAAGCTCCCTATCGGCTTCTGACGAGTCCTCCTTGCTGTAATGAACCAACATCTCATTCAGCAGCTTCACATTGTTATTTACTTCCTCCAGTGTGTGCATGCGTTTTGTCACTTTCTGAATCCGAGCCTCATCCTGCCAGGCATAAAACACAGACATAAAAACTAAGTTTCCTTGTACAGGTCTCCAGCATCACAACAGCAGGTATTATCTGTAAATCATGTCAAGTAATGCCTATTTAAGGTTAAGCACCAACCCCAAAACCTCTCCATTCCTGTGAAACTTCATTTATTTTATTATCTTTTCATCACCATTCTGAAAAGATAGAAAACCCTGTATTTCAAAAAAGTCTCATTAAATACACTTTAATGTATAATTATACCACTAGAAATAGAAAAGTTCCCAAAAGTTCCTTTCTGACTTTTTCAGAAGATTTTTTTTTTTTTTTTGGTCACTTGATGCCATTTTATGAAAAAGATGTGTTTGAAGCAAAACATTTACTAGGAACAACAAGCACTCTCTGGTAGAAAATATCCACCTGTCTCTAATTTGAGATTCCAGCTAAAGATGTAGGACAGTCTGCCCTGGAGACAAGAGAAGCTTGAATGGAAACATTTCAGTAACCTATACATCCCCTTCAGTCTAGAAGCTACCCTTTTTTTTTTTTTTGCCAGAATCACAGTGAGTCATTTCCCGGACTCCAGAGTTTTTAATGACGGCCATGGGTGGATGCATCACAGCTCTACAAACAGGAAGATGCTTCCATGAAGCCTGTGTGTGAGAAGACCCAGTCCAATGACTCAGTCCTCAGTATCCAGGGGTGGTACTGCGATGCTCCCACCAAACCCTGATGTGAATAACCATCTTGAGTGATGAGAACATAGTTAATTACAACAAGGGACATTCAATCCTTGCCCCTTCTTGTCCTGTCCTCCACCAGAGACACCAACTGGACACGTTTTTTCTGATACTAACATCTCCCAGTTGTGAGCAGGAGTCAAAATTACCACACATTCATATCACACAGAGCCCAACTAACTCATCAGATGGCACCCCCTTTATGCTGGTAACCACAGGGATTAGATGCAAGTTAGCACTGTTAGAGGTTTTAAAAAATAATAAAAGGCTGGATGTTGCTGATGGTCGGTCTCATTCAGTCCCCACAACTTAACTAAGGAATGCACTAACACCGTGCTCCCGGAGCTTGAAAAACCCAGGTTCTGCCATTCACATGACCCTAAAGCTCTGCCATTTTGAAGTCAAACTGCTTAAAACCTGGAAAGCAGACTGCTGACTGGACCAATCCTACAGGAATTTCTTACCTCTTTTACCATGGATTTTATAAGCTTGTTGGCCTCTTGTAAATCATCTGGGTTTTTGCTTTTCAGCAGTTTGGCTAGAAGCTGTAAGACGAGAAGAGGATATTCAGGAAACAAATAAAGACCCTTTGGCAAAGGGAAACGGCGAAAGGAATTTAAGTGAACAGTTTGGGGGGAAAAGAAATACAGCCCACTATTACAAAGCTTACACAGCTTTCATAGTTTCAATGACGTCAGCAGGAGTCATTTATGGTTTATTATTTTATGTGAGTTGCTGCATTCTTGCTTCTACACAGGACATAAAATACTGTGAAATCTCAGAGACTTCTGATGCTAGATAATTATTCCTCCCATACATAATTTTTGGTCCTGTGTGTGAAATGTTCTCTGCCTTCTAGTACTACAGCAGGATGGCACTTTAACCAGGAATAACCTCATAATGGTAACACAGACAAGGCCTTAACTGCAACTTCAGACTAGGTAGGTGGACAAAGCAATGAATTCTGCGAAAGTACACACTGTCACCCCAAAAATAAAAGCCAAATTAGTATACTTTACTTCCTTATTCTAAATGTGCATTGAGTAATCACTTTTCATTAATGATTATGATACAAGTCTTCACTGTACCTTGGATTTCTCCTCATCATCAAACACAGGGTTTTTGGGACGAGGCGGTGGAGAAGGAATCAGGGTTCTGTCTGCAGGAATCACAGGATCAAACATAACGATCCCTGAAAGCAGAAAGGGAACTCATGTGAATTTGCACATGCAGTCACACCAAGCAGTGCACCCCGTTATTCACAGACTGCTACCAAAGCAAACACGCAATCTGTCCATTGATACTAGCACACTGCTCTAACGAACAATATAGGATCAAAATCACTGAGCATGCTAGCTGGAGAAACGAAGTTTTCTTTGATAAAAGCCAAAACCCCAGCAAATGTGTTGCCATGTCCATATTGCTCCTCTAATAGCTCAGTATAATCAATAGCTCTCCACTATTTGTCTTTCCCCCTTTCACTTTAGCTGTTGAACCACTAAGTGAAGTCCCAGACAATCCAGCTTTGTGCAAACTCAAGTGCGTGACATTTGTTTGTATAAATGAGCTGAGCAGGAAAGTAGACAGCAATGCGAAACAGGGTGATGAGCAGGCTCCTAACCACAAGTGGGGAAAGAGCCAAGCTTCCTGCTTGTTCCACTGTCAAAACCCTAGATTTCTGCTCTACCTCAAGAGCTTTCCTGGAACCAAATTTCCTTGTGTTGAAACTGCATGCTTCCCAGCTGAGCTTTTTTCACTGTGCCTATGTAAGAAATGTGTATCAGTTGAACTAAAGGTACAATTGTAAAGCAATCTAATTAAAAGAACACAAAAGGCTACGCAGAGGCTCTTATTTCACTTCAAATTAGCCTTGTTCAAATCATTTAATAACCAGTTCCAGAAAAATCTCAAAAAAGGGCCTGCAAACCAAACCAAAAGTATTTGCAAGGTGTTTAACTAATCTAGTTAAAAAAGCCAACCCAACCCAGCCCAAGGCATTTAAACTTAACGACAAGCTTCTCAGGCAATTTCTCCCTTTTCTGTCTCCCCTCAGAGCTTGCCTTGACACCGTGTAATTAGAAGCTGTATATTTTGTGACACTCCTGCTTAAAGCACAGGCTGGAGAGGATGCATGAACAAGCAGCTGACTTCCTACCTTGTCGCTTCAGCATGTAGTAGGCATCCTTGATTTTGGATTCTTCTGGCAATGCCACTGTCCAGCTATACAGCAATTCAATGACTTTCGTCTTCACTTTCTCTGAGACTCGGTCTCCCAGGTACTAAGAGCAGAAAAAAAGATGTAAACTCTCCACATTCTTAATTTCTTTTTAAAAATAAAGCCCAATCCCAGAGAATGGAAGTTCAGTGACATACATTAGAAGGTGTATAAGCCAAGTTCCAAGATGATCTAAGACACATCTTATCAAGAAGAGAAAATGCTCCTCTAATATATTTGGAATAAGAGTGAAGAGAAGCTTTGTGATTCTCTTCAGCAAAAGAAAAAGCAGCTATTCTGTTGGTTCCATGATTTTGCTATTTAAAAATTACAGGAACACAGATAACCACTCCCTCCCCTGTCTTATGGGAAAGAATCTGGGAATACTTTGCTGCACGAGCCATGCCATGGAGTGCCTCTGTCTATTTTTTGCCACATTAAACTGTTTTGATCATGAACGTTGAGGGACTTAGCCAGGCAATCTTTACACAGCAAGTCAGCAGCAGAGTGAGGACTAGAGCTCTATGGTGTGTTGCAAAGTCTCTTGTTTTAACCTCTGCATCACACTTCTCTTCCACTGACGCTGGAGTTTTGTTTCATTTTTAAAAAAACACAGCTCAAGCTTTAGAAGCCCTTGAATTACATGAAGGATTAGAATAGTACCAAGACTATGTACTGATGATAAATAAGTACAGCTTACTGAGAAAAAGAGTAAGCAGAGCATAAAAAAAACCCCATACAACTTAGCTAACACATGCTCTTGAATATAGGCTAATAAATGCAATGAGCTAGACAGAGCACTGCAAACATTTTGGATGTTGCTTGTAGCTTACAGAGGCCAAACAAAAAACAGATAGAGCCATAAGGCTCAGGGACTAACCTTTGGAGACACAACTTTTATTAACTCGTTTAAAAAGCGAAACTTCCCTACTTCATTATGAAATCTTCTCCCACAGTTCTTCATACAAGCTTCTAGCACCTGCATTCAAGTAACAAAAACAGGGGCTGAAATGAACCGTACAATAACAGTGTAACTATCTTCTGCTTATAGGGGGTACTGAAGGAGCCATGCCAGTGAAACACGTATTCCTGCTCTGAGGTACAGGCATGACTCTCCCATCTTTAGGGATGACCCATCAAGACAGGCTGGTCTCCCACCCTCAGACAGGTATATATGGGTCTAAGTTATCTCACCATTAGGTCTCATTACAATGAACACAAATCTTGCCTGAAGATAACAAAGTAAAGCAGATAAAACTAAACCAGAGTTATTTCTGACTGCACATTACAATGAACACAAATCTTGCCTGAAGATAAAGTAAAGCAGATAAAACTAAACCAGAATTATTTGTGACTGCGCCACTATGCTCCCTCTCACTGTCGACCCCCGCCCAGCATTCAGCCCCAGAACTAGCCCCCACTAACCCCACTGACACACACTGTGCTCCCGTATACTCTGCACAGATGATGTAAAATGATATATAACTGGATTTAAAAGGAGGAGTAAGGACTACCTACTGTCAAGGCCTGGACTGCTTCCCATTCCTGTGGTGACTGGATTTTATGAGCCAGGAGTCTCACAGCTATCTGTGGCCTGAAACAAAGCAGATCCCCATTACAAACAAAGCAGGTGAACATGCTGAAGGATTTTCAGACTTTCACAAATTCTACCGTTTAAACAAGATGCCTTTCACACAATTAAAAGAAAATGCTATTTAGTGCTTTTTCTCTTTCCATCAGTGCACAAAGGCTAACAAGAAATATTCAGGGCATTTTTTTAAGCCTGGGTGTTTGCACATACGAAAGGAAGCGAGGGCTGGTAGCCTGAGCCAGCGATTCCAGATTCCTCCTTGGGAGGGGCCAAACAACTCCCAGTACAGTCCCCAGCCCAGGAAATCACTTCATTTCTCTTGCATTAGTTTCCTTTTTCCAGAAGAAAACACTTCTTAGCTCACAGGAATGCTGTGACCCAAGCGGTTTTCTCACTTAAGCCTTGTAAAGATTTTAAGGATGTGAAGCCCCATCAGGCACTAAGAGTTATAACCCCACTTTACAGACTGGCAAACAGAGTAACTTTGGCTAGATGAGAACCGTGCAGCTGCAGAAGCTGATGTTAGAGGCAGATTCTGAATTCCCATTTTTCTCATGCTCAGTCTGTGTATAAGCCATGCTGCCTTTCATAGAAGAGAAACCACACTTCACAGCATCTTGTTTCTTTTGTAGCCAAATCTTCCTTGCCATATCAGTATATATAAAAGAAAACATGACAGTTTGATGATAAAATGATATATTTTAAACTGTGAATGTTAATTTATTAGGTCTAGAGCAGTTTGGGACACCCACCCTTCAAGTTCTTTGTTGATCTGGTCACAGAATCCAATGATGTATTCCCAGTCTTCTTGCCTGTTAGATGGGTTAGTGGCTTTATCTTTGGTAAGGGAAAGAGAACATATTTTCAATCAAGCAAAAGAAACAGTACAAAAGGTCACGCGTTTCCTAGAGAAAAGCATTTGACATCCATTGCCAACTATAAAAAAGGTGAAAGAAGTTCACACACGGTATGTCTGTTGAGGGAAAAGGGTGTGTCCAAGTTGAAACATCCAAATATCCAGCAAGAATCACTGCCTTCCAAAAAAACCAGGTGCCAAATCTCAAGTACTTAGAAACATGCTATTTCCATACTCTAAATGAGAGTAGAAGATAAAATATTTGACCTCACACAGTTTCCCTCTGCCTGAAATGCTATCTCCTTCTATTTGGCTGTAACATTAAACACCTTAAAGGCTAAACCCTCACACTTTCTACATAGGAAATAATTTTTGTATTCCCTGGGAGTTTTGTAGAAGTAGAGCTGGAACATCAGATGTTTAATACAAGTCATTTAGCATTAAGACTTGTTTTTAGAGTGCCAGCTGATTTGTTGGATGCCTTGGCATTTCTCCTGGGAATTAGGAACTGAAATTTATTATTATACTTTGAGTTGTTCTTGCAAGTAATAAACAGCACAGCCTGTACCTGATCAGGAATTCAAATCCTATATGCTCAAACTGAGAAACCGATGCTCTACTGACTGGGCTATTTCAGGCTCCTGAAGGATCCTCCCTTGGGTACCAGGACCTCGCTTATTGTACTGATTGCAGAATAGTGAGGCTATCAGCATCTTTTTTTTGTTATGAATGCATCTTCTCCATGTATTCTACTTAACTCTGATGGAACACTGAATTTACAGCAGACAAGATTCCTGCTTTAATCTAATTTTCCAGCCAAGATGACTGGACATGATGATTTTTCTTCCTGTAAGGGAAGAAACAACAAACTGTAGCTATATATCTAAGGTGGGGCATTTAAGAAGCCTTCCTCAAAATTTTAATGGAAATAGATACAGAAAAGAAAATACTGCCAGATAGTGTAGAGCAGGGAAAGAAAGACAGGAAAAAAAAAACCCAACACACATCCCTGCACTTTCATCAGAGAAGGAAGCATAACGAAATAAACGTATGCTACATTACAAAGTGTAATTTTTTATCGTAATTTCAACATATCCTTTTACCTTTCCACAGGCAGATAAAAACAGCTGTCAAATATCTACTCTGAAACCTCACTTTCACCATGCACCTTAGTCCTCCTACTGTGGCAGTCCTAGAAGGTTTGCTCGTATTTTCCTCCTCACGAAAGGATAGTTGTAAAGCAATTTTGTAAATTGTTCCATGCATTGCATGTGCGGGGGTGAATCTCTGTGCCCACTGCTGACATTCATGGGGCCCTAGATAAGCAAAAGGCAGCAGCCAGGGAGAACTAACTGTAGGATCACATCTTGTTGCATTAGCTAAGCTACCAAACTACTTTTTGAACTCAAGAGATTCAAGGGAGGCTTAGTTTAAAAGGCAGCTGCTACAGAGCCAAGCAACTGTTCAAAACATATGTGGCACTTAAACCTTATTACCACACTCACAACTGCTGAACACCCTGGAAGCATCATGAAACCATGGGCTCAGAACAATCTAAGGTCTTTTCATGCAAGTCAAATGGTATTGGACACGGTTTGGTGCTCCAAAGCACCTCTGCTGCTCTGCAGGCCTCAATGAAAGAAATAATGGTTCTTGGCTGGAGTTACTGGAATTTAATAAATACAGGAAGAGCACAAACAAGTAAGGACACTCAAGTAAATGAACTCTTTGTTGGATGCATATCCTGAAATTGGGAAAGAGATCTGGTACAAACAGGAAAATGTAACCAGCATTTCCATGTTCTAAATGTTAATTTTAAAGCTGTTCTGAACATTTCCAAAGATTTCTTGGAATGACACTAGATTATTTCACACTCTGAGATTTGGTTCAGATTCATCTAAGTTTTTGCACCAAAAGCTCTCACATAAAGACAGTAAAGTCTCAGGAGAGAGAGATTACTGAAGGGGAGTTATGATCCACATGAAGAAACACCCTATTTCTAACATTCATAAAATCTCCACGTGAAAGCCCAGTTCACAGGGGTTAATAAGCTTGAACAGAATTCCTGCCCTGGCTCTGGAGATCGATGTGTTTGCATGGCAGCCCACACCGGTGTGTATGGATAGCTGAACTGATTTGGATAGCAATCTCAGTACAGCCACATGAACACAGCATCCCAGGTGAACTAAATTACCTTGCTTAACCTTTTCAGGACACCCCTATAAGAAGCCACATCACATCAATGAAAGCATAACCTAAAACCTTCTATTTTTATGCAAAACACTTAAAATGTGGGCAGGGAGCTCCTCTGCACTGCCTTATAAATACGCTTCAACCCTTGTATGAAAGGATTCATTCCAGGAAGAAGAGTTTGGTGCTCCGGAATACCAAATCCTTAGCTCCTCTGTTGAAACTGCCAACAAAGGCATGGTACCGGTTATGAAGTTTGCTTTCAGAGACACTTGTCTACCAGCAGGTCCTATCCTGAAAATCCCACTTCACGTTGGTAACCAAGTGAATCTGAATTAGCAACCTGGGAACATAAATCTCAGCACTACCCCAGTCTTGCCACCATCTCTGCCTTAGCTTTCAGACACCACTGTGCTTAGGACACAAAGTTGCTTCACATCTGACCCAAGCATCAGAGCCATTCAGCCCTCCCTTGCTCTGCTAGACCTTGAAATGCTAATGAATCAACATTCAGATGCCTCATTAGATATGAAACAAAGGTGCTTATTTTCTCTATAGACAAACGATGTTGGAACGCAGAGAACCACAGCCCATTAACTGACTGGTAACAAATGCTTGTATTTTCCTGCGTTTACTTCTCTACTGAAATGAGGCAAACGCCATCCCAGGTCAGGCTTAGCATACGAATTGGGAATCTCCAGCCCAAGCATATCCAGTCTAACAGTTAGATTCTGTTTGTATCCCCAGGAGAAGGAGAATGCTGACCCAGGACAATACAAGGAAATCCAAATGAAGGCAATCATAGTATTTCATCTATCTGCATCTACTACATAGCTAGACATTGCCTAAGCCTGACATGAATGTGATACAATAAGCTTCCTTTTGGATGCAGGAGAAAAGGCAGCGCTAAAGTCAAAGGATCCAGCTGTGTTTGTACAACTGACATTATTTTCTAACCTCCTCTTCTATTTCAGCTAAGTGCAGAAGAAGAGCCTGCCGGCAAGGAGAGAATAGAAAGAATCACCTTCTCTCATCCCAGCTGCCTGAAATGAGGCAGGAGACATGAAGATGCTAGATCATCACTGGCTGAAGTGCAGATCTTGCTGCAGTATTAGGACACGAGGATGATGTTACTTCATGGGTCCATGACTCCACCTGATAACAGAGACAGGGCAGCGTGGAAGGCTGCATACCACCAGTCCAGAGAAAAAAAGAAAAAAATCACTGGCACGAAGAAATTTTCCATCTCCCTGTGACGGGAAGTTGGCTGTGCTGCTGAGCAATTCTGGCCCTTCCCTGTAGTAAGGGCACAGCCGGTGCACACCCTCAAGGTTAGTGTTAGACATGGCACAGCTTTGTGATGGTTACAAGAAAAAAAAAAAACAAACCTCAGAAGGCCTGGTGAAAGTACTCAAATGTACCAGCCTTTCCACTCTGCCTTCCTGGTCTGCACAACTCCTCTGGTAATTTACGTCGACTAAATGTTCCATGCTCCCCTACAATGGGAGGAGCGATATAATCACACCAGCACAAATCACTGTAGCAGTGACCTGGCATAAATGCATCCTCTTAAATGAGCGCCACACTCAAGCCTTGAAAAATGTGTACACCTCTGCAATCAGGCTCACTGCAATATTTCTTGTGAGTAAGGCCTCTGCAACACTACCCTTTAGCATATGTTCTCTGGTGCAGAATATCCTACTGCTTGGGGAAGGAGAGATAACTCCTCTCTTAACTTCCACAATTAAAAAATAACCCCACAGAACAAACAAACAGGAAGCTTTCCAGGCTATACAACCTAAAATATCCTTCCTACTAGAGATATTTTCACACACAAACTGAACTTGGTGAGTCAGTTCTCCTCAGAGAAAGATTAAAAGGAAGGGATGTGGGTGTTTCTTCATGTGTCTCACTGGCTACAATAAAAGATATTGACAAACTGTGGGAGTTCAGAGGAGGAGCAAAAATGGTGAGGGGACAGAAGGGATTGATCTAAAATGAGAAGTAAAAGCTGAAAGCATCATTTAGCCAGCAACTCCTATAACAGATGATGATACCATGTATGTGTTTGAATTTTATACAAAAAAGCCAAGAAAGAAAAATAATTATTTAATCTTGTTTATGGAAGGATAACTCCAAAAGGGTAACAAGTTTTATACTCTAAGGTATTTAGGGTAAGCACCATCTTCTGCTGTTTGTCTGGTACCCAACTTCTTAGGAACTTCACTCACCACTGTAATCAAACAAATAACTATTAAAAAAAGAAGAAAATCTCAGCAACACGCTAGGCATGTGCGGGAGAGCCTCCCAGAGACAGCAGCAGGAGCCCCTGTGTGTGGATTATATGAAAAACAATTGCTGTTATGACTGATTCATTCAGGAATTGCCTTCTGATCCACCAGCACTGGGACAGGATCCCGCAGTGCTAGGTTTTGTACCGCCAACAGCCCAAAAGCCAGCCATGGACAGCACAAGCAAACATACAGGGAGGTGATACTCAGCAAGGGCTGTGGATGAATAAGCCATGGGTCTGTCCCCCCCATCTCTAATGTTGAAGATCCTGTGATTAAAAAATATCTTATCTTGACAAAGGATTTTTAAATATTCCAGTGGGTATGGAATAGACATCCTACTCTGAAACTGCAGCTAGACATAAAGCAGTTTGTCTGCTTAAAAATCACAGTTGTATAACACATGAATACAATTTATTTGTGAAATCCCTACAGTTGCCAACGGCCGTACACTTAGCTAACCAAAATTCAGGCGAAGGAAGAAGAGACAGCAGGGACAGACACCTATCATGAGCCTTCATGGTCAAAAAAACCCCCAAAAGCCTTGCAGGTGCTGAGGACGGTGAGCCCTCAGCACCTGCCCATTCCTCACACCTCCCAACAAACCTGCACCATTCCTCACACCTCCCAACAAGCAAATTGATGATTAACGGACCCGACCCGCTGCTGTGCCCCCACAACCACAGTTCTGCACCTCTCCTTCACCGATGCTGTCGCGCCGAGGGCGCTGGGCACCAGAGCGG